TCACACTTGTCTCCCACTTGTCTCCCAGTAAGCTCTGGATGCTCTGATTCACAACCTGGATCCATAAATTTCATGTTTTAGCCCTTGTACGGCGTCCCATTGTAAAGTCAATGAAAAACAGAATTTTAATGCTTTCCCTTTGTGCGTCTACATGGTGGACTACAGTTTTCTTCCTCTAGGAAATACTGCTGGCCATATTATTCGGAGATCTCATTCTTGAACATTGCTCTGTTTGGGGTCTACGCTGGTATAATTCATTTGTTTTTGTTTTTTGTTTTTTTTGCTTTTGCTTTCTCATTTGCATTTTGGGTGCTTTTTGGATTTGCGTTTTTTTGCTTTTCCTTTTTGTAGTTGCTTTTTAATGCTTTGTTTTTGCAATGTTGTTATTTTCAAGATTCACAGAGTTAGCCTGGGTCCCGCGAACATAAAACGATACATTTTTGTCCGCTAAGGAGACGCATTGCCGCATTCCCATCCGTTCTACATCTGGTCCCTCCCTTCTTCGCTTCCCTTCGTCGCTTTGAGGATACACTTCTTCGAAGTTGGAGGAGCGGAGAGCACAGTGCCTTGGCCCTGCAAGTGGAAACCGAACGCCGCAAGCGGAAACAAGGCACGCACCGGACGCATCACTGTGCTTTTAAAGGACGTATGTAGCGACGTAGAGAGAACTGACCGGCCAAACAAAAACACTCCTTGGGGATTTGAGCCGTTCGAGTTCTGAGGGGGGTATAGAAAATGTGGTTCAGCTTAGCTGATCAGGAGAGTTTTCTATGACTGTTTGCAATTTTTGCTGAAGCTGAAGCCCCCATGATTTAGAAGATCCTCAAAGAATATAGAGCTCCTGATAGGGAAGGGGGTCCTGACACCGGAACGTGGAGGTTTCTTCAGTTCGCAACAGAATCCATTTTCGGGGTGGTGAAAAAACACATCAACACACCGTAACACACCTCAACCAATTCATTGGACTGAAGTGACTCTTCAGTGTGTAGAACTGTGTACGTTTCGCCGGACGCAGATTTCGGACGACATCTGAGGCGATTGGACTTTGACCCTGGGAGACCATGAGTTCAAAGTGCACAAGGCCCACAGAGTGCGGCCCGCGTGGCCTGCGCCTGCGTGGTCTGCGCCTGCGTGGTCTGCGCCAGCTCTGAAAATCAGACATTGTGAGACCAAGAGCTGGAAGAACAGATCTTGACATGACACTGGTTTGGTCTCAAAATGCCAAGTCCACTGAAAAGTATGAAAAGTAGATGAGCACCTTTTGGTTGGCCCCACACACAACCCACAACCCTGCATGCGAGATCCTTGTTTGCAAACAAGACGCTGAGTCCGCTGAGTGTTCATTGCGTCGAGAGGCGGAAATTGTCGGGCTGGGTATGAAGAATGCAATGGTTACAGATCATTAACCTTTGGATTAGCTTCAGCCTGGAGTTTAAACAGAAAGGTATTCGGTATTCAAGACCCTTGATACTATGCCATGAACGAAGAAACCCTGGTGCAATTGTATCAATCTTCCACTGATGGCTGGGTGCTGTTCTTCAAGTCATTCACGATCACCATCCAGTCCCTTCTTTGGATGTCGAGACGGTCTCCATCCACTGCATCGTGCGACCGTCTCGGGTCCCGCCTCCGAACCGGACGACCTCCTCCGGACCGGCGGCGCGGAGGTCATTGTGGCCACCGGCGAGCGCGCGAGCGCCTTCCTGGCGGCAGCCTTCCGGAAGGCGGGGACGGGACGCAGATGTGGGGGACGGACTGGGTGGGGGATGCGTGGGAAGCTGGCCAGGGCTCCCAGCAGCAATTAGGAGGTCAAGGCGGTCAAGGGCTCGCCAGGTGGCTCAAAGAGGCCGCTTGAGGGGATTCTAAAGAAACAACAAAGCCCCATCAGTTTTACAGCAAAGAAACCAAGGCACGTGGGGGAAGTCTTCGGATGTTGGTGAAGCCAAATCCACGAGACCCACGGATATTTGGCTCACATTTGGGCTGTTTGAGGCCTTGGATGGGGATTGGATCGGCATTTTAGGCGGGCCCTTTTGGGGCTAGAGGCCATAACATGGGCTTTCAGACTTATGCATTTCAACGGAACTCGTTCTGCTCTTCATGTCATCCCATGCCTTCTCCCGCGTGCCTCGCCCAGCACGTGGGCGATGCGGAAGAGCACACGGACCTGACCGCGCCGCTCGGTGTGAACAGCGAGAGCGGCGTGGGTCAAAGGTGGAAGAGCTGCATCTCTCGAAGAGACACATCGAGGCGCGCAAAATGATGATCCTAGAGGTTCTGACAGGTTCTCTTCTGGCTATTCTTTTTTTGAAAGATGTTGAAATCGCATTTTTGAGGTTGTAGGTGCCTTTTTGGGTTGAAACTTTCAATGTCGATTGGTGAAGGTTCTGTAGAAGATTGATCGCCTGCTTTTCTTGTGCAATATGCTCCAGCAGATGGAAAGCTCATGAAAGCTCCTGCTTCTTTTCCGCTCATTTCCGCTTGCACTGCCACGTCCTCATCCACTTTCCATTCACTTTCCCACCTCCTACAGTCCCAACATGTCGTTCCCCTCGGGCAGACGGACTCCACTCAGGGTGGCCGAAGAGTAGTGGATCGAACCTCTAAAGCACATGCAACACGTGAATCAGCACCAGGGTTTCACAAGGATTCCTTAGCTCAAATGACCATAACTATATATATATATAACTCTTTCTTCTCAGAGGTTTAATACTGACACTGCTCTCAGGTTTGAACCCTTTTGCTCAAAACAAGGCAGCTTGGGATGGGGCATGGACCCTATGCCGCTCCAGTCGCTTGCACATGCTCACAAAAACCGCTCTCAGGCTGCTGCCCAGACAGTGTTGGCCGCATTTCGAGGCTGAAGCTGTTTGACATGTGCCGATGTGCATTTGATCTTCAGCACATAGAAATACCATTGCCATCAATTGTTCTACGAGTCAGAGTGTGATGAGATAGAAGAATACAATACCCAGACGCTCCATGTATGCCACAAAGGCCTACATTGGGGTGGTTTTGGGGGTCAATGTAGGCATATATATGCGCCTGGGATATATATATATAGGAGATACATATACTGGTTTGATCGATATGATGAGAGAGTCCCACGTGCACTTGTTTGTAGCTTTCAGCATAGATGGACATCAGTGTTCAAGCTGCTCGTTTCAACCATCCAGCAATGCATTCAGATGCGAACCATCCGGAATGGAACCTTCCAACATCTTCGAACGCTGGGTGTGTGAGATTGCTGGATCCATGTAAGAAACATATATTTAATATGCAAGGTTGTGATAGATCTCCCACCCTTGGTTCCAAACATTTGCATCCTCTTGAGCTTAGTTATTGTTCGTTGGTGAACTCTGCAAATGCCTATCCTAGGAAATCCTTGGAACTGGAACATTCTAGGATTTGACTTGTACAGCTGTTATTTGTAGCAGGCATATTTGGATCCACTAGCTGACTCTCTTTAGCTGATGGCTGCTGGATGTTTGCTTGCGAGTTACTGTTGGAAAGACCTCGGGACCAACGAAATCCATATTGCTTTCGTGCTTTCATGGGTACCATGACATCATGCCACAAGCCCACTTGGTTGATGGACTTTCAGGTTTCAAGACCACCCATCCTTCCCAGCTGCTTTGTGCCACCCAGTCGTATGCCCTTCTCTAGGCAGTGCTGGACTTTATCTACTCAGATAAACTGGACATTCAGGTGCGGGCAGTGACATGTGGGGCTGACCCAGATTGAGTGGCAATGCCGAACTCAGACCAAAGATGAGAAAGTTAACCGGCAATATGAAAGGATCTAAGACATCCTGTCCTTCATGGGACAATTCACCCCAAGGTCAATCAAGGGAATGCAACACATGGATAAACATGGATCATGTTCGCAAAGAAAACGGTCCCCCCCAGCTCCTCTCACGTTTTCCGCACCACCGCCCCATCCTCACCGCCGCCCTCACCGGTCCGTCTCGGCGTCGAGGCCGACAGTTGGGGTCCACTGGTGAAGACGGCATCTCGGCGGAGAAAGCCTCGGTCCACGCGGTTCGCAGCGAGGTCCTTGCAGTATACATGGAGCATATTGTATGGAGCATATATGGAGCATGGAGACATGCAGTATGGGGGAGGTGCACATCAGTTTGTTTAGAGTTGAGATGGATCATGTACCTACTTGTAGACCTGCAGATGATTGAGCCCAAACTCCGCGAACTGTGAGCATCTTGATTGTGCTCAGCATACAAGACGCCAAATACCTAGTATGTATTCTGTACGAAGCTTGCAATATACCCATAAAACCATTCTTGGCGGTGGATTTCAGAAGAAATATGTTGGTTGCCAAGTCACAGTCCATTTTTGCAATACCCTATACATGTTTAGTTTTTGAAAGGTGCTGGTGCATCAGGGTGTATCTACTTTGAGCGTCCGTTTAGCGTACACATTCCTCCACTCCATTTTGGGAATTGTCTACACATGTATCATGTGCGAAGCGTGTTAGTTTAGTTGGCGGAGTAAAACATTCTGAGCATGTAGCAGTTTCTTGCAAAACAAACTCGTGTTTTGAACATCTCTAAGCAAGATCAAGAGACAAGACCGTTGACTGTGTCAAAGAATCGGGAGCACCCAAACAGGAACGTGCATAAGAAGCATGAAATAGATGTGGACTGTTTATTAACGCAATTAACATAACCTTCCACATGAAGAGGTCTTACAATCCAAGTGCATGTGTGTGTTGTTTATTTATTTATTTATTTCAAGAGTCTACTTCATTGACATTGTAGGTTGGAGGCCACGGCTCTTAGTAGAGGCCATTCCTACTAGTTGGAGGCCATTTGAATTAGGTTGGAGTACCCCCGGTCCCCTCGTTTTTTTCAAACGAACGAGTCCGAACGAGGCGGTTCGGCTCCTCTGGGCTCCGACCGGTGGCGCACGGTGAGGCCGATGTGCTTCAAATGGGCACGCTCTACACGAAATGTGTGGAGGTGAAGCAGGGAAGCGGCGGGAATGTGGACCATCATTCAGATCTGGCAGATAGATTGTACATATGATTTGGAAAACAGATAGTCTATAGATTCTAGATAAGATATTTGAATAAATAGATGGATCAACACCCGATACAGTAAGTTGATAGATCAGGCAATGGGGTAGGTAAGTACACAGACTGGACTAGTATTGGCGACCCCTCGCTCGCACGAGCGCGCTTCTGTGGCGTGAGCATCGCCATAGCAAGCAGCAGAGAGCAACAAAGTTCCAACTCTGAAGGAAGCAGTGGACTCATGACTACTGGCCATTGTGAATATGCATTGTAACTGTTATTCTGCTCATGTGAGATCATGTGAGCAAACAGGCCAAAGTTGCTAAAAGATTGCTCAGCAAAGAACTCTCTAATCACATGCAGGCTGCGAAACGATGCAACTTCCGCAACATCCTTTCTTTAATGGTGGGGTCTCATTTTTTTCACAAAACGATGACTGTATGTAGATGACTGTATGTTTTTAAACGAGGTTTTCTGGCTGGCTACGCTTGGTGTCCAGCGGCCATTTGGCTGAACATCAAAGAAAGGCGTTTTGAGGCAAATCAGCGTTTGTTTTTTCAGGTTGTGACGTTTTGATGATGTATTTGTTGAACATCCCTTATTTGTTTACAATCTGTTCATGTCTTTTCTGGTTGGTGCAGACCTTTGGAGTTTCTAACGAGTTGAGAACATATTCAGCCAAGAATGGCGGGTCCTCCTCCATGGAACTGGGCCATGAGTCAATGTGCAGCAGATGCATGCGACTTGGCTGGCAGACTTGGCAGCTTGCAAAGAGGATTCTGCGCAATCGCATTAAAAATTCACCATGATTCAATAGGTTCAGTTTCACTGGTCGCACTCCACATAGTCGGTTTTATTTGGTGTGGAACCTAGGAATTTCCACGTCGGGTCGCTGAAAGAAAAGATCGCTGGGCCACGCAGTTCTTTTTGTGTCGATCCTTTCGAAGTTCTTTTTCACTTCCGGAGGCTCCGGAGGCTCGCCGAGCGGCTCACGCGGATCGTTTCACGATTCAAAAGAAACCTCCGGAGGTTCTTCTACTACACCTGTGTTTGGCGTGTTTTGTTCTTTTTCTGCTGATGTTCGAAAGACCCCCAGGTGTCGACCAGCCAAAAATGATCAAACATGACTGGTGTGGGAACCCCATATGGATGTTTCACAGGTTTTTGGGAGGTCGCTTCCAATTCTTGCCAAATCCTCACTGCTCCGCCGCGGTTCCGCGGCGCCCGCTTCGCCTGGACGGACGCATGAGGTGTTTGCGAGAACTCCCAGGCGGCGCTGGCGGAGAGCATTGTGGCAGACTCAAAGGCGAGAGCTTTAAGGATCAACACAAGAAGACTGGATTTGCCCTTTGGAGGACCAAATCTAACGGTCCTTAATTTTAAGCAAATTTAAGCCTTGGGCCTTTCGTATGCTTCTGCTTTTCTTTGGGGATTCGATGTGTGGATGCTTCCCAACGCACGAGTGACTGGACAATCCTCTTAATTTGGTGATCCCGAATCATGAATATAGGAAACTCTTGCCATACTTCTTCCATCTTCGTACCCCTTTTATGGGTGCACCTCCGGTCAGTTTTCCCCCAAGCATTCTCCGGTTTTGCTGGAGCTCTCGGTCAACGGGTCCAGGTTCCTGGGGGCCAAGGCTCCAGACGGGACATCAAAGCAGTTGAAACTTGCTGGTTCTTTCAGCCGGACTTTTTAAAGAAATGCAAGAAGTTTGTGACCCTTTTGAGCAGGAGATTGACAGGAATTTGTCGCAGGTGTTTAATTGCAAGCTGTACTGTAGACCTTCAGGTATTAGAACCTGTGCACCCAATCGAAAAGAAGCGTATTCAGCAGATTAATTCAAAGCAGTTGTCAAACATATTCTTCTGCGTGTCCTTTGGCATGTCTGTTTTGCTCGACCAAAACGAAAGAACAACGATTTCATCAAGGTTTCTGGGGTGCACCGATGAGCGTTTTTGGGGTGTGTGGATGACAAGTGAATTGGCTGTAAAACCATAAATGTAAAATTTTTTTGGTTTTAAGTTTTAAGTATTATGTTTATATAAGTGATTTTTGTTAATTTCACTCTTTCCTATAGGGTTTTCTCGTTTTGGTAAACCCTCAACCCTAAACCCACTCTTGCCACCTTCATTTGACGCGGACTCGGCCCACAGGCTCCGACGCCTGCCACGATCGAGAAGATTCTGTCGCCCCTGAGCGAAGCGAGCGAGGGCGACAGCGAGCTCTCCCAGGTGCCGAAGCCGAGCAGCGTCCGACCGGTCCGAGACAGGAACCGCCGGTGCAAACCGCGGAGAGAGATACTCACGGCTCTGATATCATGATGTCCTAAACATAGCGCCTCCTCTTCTTTGATGGTGATGCTGAAGGCCAGTTTTGCAGAGACAACACTGCCCCGAAATTCACCACTCCCTCAGCAACATTGGAGCATGAATGCAGCACTAAATCAACCAGTTTAGTGCAGTGTATTTCAATAGTTTTTATTTGACATAGTAAACCAGGGGCAAGTGTTGCCACCCCTTTGGGCCTCTGGAATAATATGGGATGATGGGGTTCATTCTGAATGAAGGACTTCCAATTGCACGTGGAGTGATGTGTGCCTACAGTACTCCTTGACTGCAGGATGTTGACAAATTGATGTTGGGCTTCTTCAGAGGATCATACACTCATGTTCATTGGGATCATCATGACAAGACCTCCGGTCACTTCCAAGACCGTCGGATTTGGAGCGATGTCATCTTCCTCACTCGACCGGTGGCACCCGGTGGCGGTAGCTCCACGGATCCGGACCGCATAGCGAGGTGGTCCAGATGAGCAGCCGCATGAGGCCAGACGTGCCATGGACGTCGGGGAGACCCGCGCGGACGTGGGGTTGGCCAGGCCGCCTTTGAGGGGCCCCGAAGGGTGGAAAGCTGTTGTTCGGATTGAGGGGAGGAGAATGATCAAATCAGCTGCCCAAACCTGCGATGACCAAGCAAGTAAAGAGCGCTGGTGAATTTCAGGAGTTTGGTTTACTAAAACATCTTAGTGAGTAGGGGACCATCAATTCCAGAACTCAGGCCTTGCATCGTTTTCCCAGGAGTGCTTGACCTTGTAGGCTCGATTTGACCATGCCCAGATGCTCGACTCACACTGGAAGATGACAGGAAGACACAGGACCTGGAAGTGGATGCAGAGATGGTGCGTGGCATTCCTTTGTGCCTTGGTCACGCATCGATGCGCACCGGGTGAAACACCTCCCAAGGTCCGGTCACCTCCCAAGGTCCCAAGGAAGAAGACCAGAACCTAGTAAGAAGGACGCTACCAGGAACAAAGGGCATCGCTACTAGGAGCAAGGACACTACTAGGGGGCCTTACTACTAGTAACAAGAAGCTACTAGGAACAAGGGCATCGCTACTAGTAACAGGGGCACCGCTATTAGTAGCTAATTTGCTACTAGTGACAAGAAGCCAACCAAAAAGAGAAAAAGATGGTGGATATTGTTGCTTTGCGCTGGGGCTCACGGTCTTGTTCTGAAAGCGGCAGCGTCGCAGATTTCGAGCTTGTGGCTCGCTAAGAGGTGCAATTTAAGGCATCCAATCGAGTAGACTAAATTCTGTGCTCATGGATGTTGATGGACATAGTAGAAGATGCAAGATGTTCAGCTTATTCCTCTGCTCTACTCAAAGGTGACCCCCCAAACCCCCAAGCCTGGGTCGGGTGTAGAACCTTCCTTTCACTTCTAATTCCACTGGTCAGCTTCGGAGAGTTTCACCACAAAAGTCGCTGATTTTTTCAGGTCCTTCTCGGCATACCGAGCGGGGGCCAAAGGGACGCGTTGTTTCTTGCGTGGGCGCCAGCTTGAAGGTCCTTCCACATACCCATACGATAACCACTTCCGATAATTACTTTGGGACGTGGTTACCGTCACCTTGGTAAATTCTTTGGCTGCCGGAGCTTGAAGGATCATGCTGTAGGTCCGCAGGTCGTTGACATCCTTTGTATCTCGGATCTTCAGATCAACCGTTTGGTATAAAACATCATGAAACAGGATTTGATCATATTGGATCCGTTTGACCATGTTTGACCCCTCTCAGCTGCATATTCCATCATTTTACATTAGGTTGGAGTTGGAGGCCATCGCTATTAGGTTGACTCCATATTCCATCATTTTCCATCTAGGTAGGTCGCGGCTACGATCCACTGCAGGCAACTTGCGCTGCGCTCCTTGGGCAAGGCCTTCCGCCGGTCACCCGAGAGTATGAGCCATGGCATGCTGGTGGTGCCTCCGAAATGATGTCCAGTGGATGTATTTTCACATACAGTACTCCATGTAGGGAATCTTTACCTACAGTGGGGTGGTTTCAAAAGTCAATGATGGTCAATGTAAGTACATTATATTCCATACATGGAAGTGCCTGGGAGTGTATTGAATGTAGAAGGCAGGCCCATGAATAGGTTTTCCCTCAGGAAGGGAGGCCCCCCGACCATTGGGTTGAGTGAGGAACACCTTTGCACACAGCTTTGCGGATTCTTCATCTCCCACTTATATCGCCTGCAAAGCCAACAAAAGATGCCAACCAAGGGCAAGGTAAACAATAAAGTTAAAAACACATATGTGTGATCTACGCAGTTTTGGTATGAATGGTGCGAGTCGACACTTCACAAGTCTGAGCCCAGTCGACTGGGTACCTGGTGCTACCGGGGGGTCGGAGTGTTGGGATTTGCTTTGACCCAGATCCACATTCAGTTTGAGGGGCGACTGTCTTTGGTCACTTCGTTGCGGATGAAGTTCGATCAGCAGAATAAACATCTCTGTAGATCAAGAGGACATCAGATGCCTGGAGTTGGAAGATGTTTTTGCTCCCCAATTGGTTGCAACATGTTGGGTAAACGGGGGGGGTTAGCCCCGAACGCAACACACCGAGGGTGAAAAACCATGTGTTTTACAGGGCTTCGTGGCTTTCCGGACACTCAAGTTATCGTCTTGCAACTCATGAGTTGCAAGACGATAAGTTGAATGCGTTTTCACGGACCCAACTCACCCGCCTGCTCCATGTACAGCTTGCCAAGGCTCATTGTTCAGCCGCCAGACATAAGTCTTGTTCCCAATTGAGCCATTTGAGCTCACTGTGCATTTGAGCTGGTGGACAAGTGTCTTGCACAGCTTCTCTATGTATTCTGACAGCCTCGAGCATTGAGTCCAACCCTGGATGTTGGCGGAACCACAACGCTGCGAGGCCTTCAACGTGCTGTCGTTGCAGCTTTGCATCGCAACGGCCAAGAAAACCCATTCTACGCAGTGTTAAAACAAACCTCGAACGTCGTCCTCTAAGCCAAGAAAAGCGGTCACCGAGCGAACGAAAGGTCACCGAGTCGACAAGTCAACGTCAAAGTCGATGTACGCGAGTAGTAACACGGACGAAGCTGACCCCAACCCCCCCCCACCCTGAAAGACCGATCGGATATATGTTGCCGGCGGGGCTAACCCCCCCCGTTGGCACAACATGTTGCAACATCTGAACAGTTTATTTCAAGTTCGAGTTCGCTGGCGACTTCTGGTCTGGGCCCTGGTGGTCGAACGCTTGCTTTTTCCAAGGACTGAAGAGCAGTGCGCTCGGCTCTTTGAGCAGACCACAGGTGTCGAGCAGTTCGATCTGTTTCCTCGATGCAACGAAGCATTGCTTGAGGGGCACCGTTCATCCACTACTGTTCTTTGTTACCTATGGATCTACATACCATTTGGGCAGGACCTGGGGAGTGCTTTGTTGTTGCTGCTCCGTGGCCCTCGCTGTGGACCCCGCTGTGGCCCCCGCTGTGGCCCCCGCTGTGGCCCTCGCTGTGGCCCTCGCTGTGGCCCCCGCTGTGGCCCCCGGCTGTGGCCCTCGCTGTGGCCCCCGCTGTGGCCCTCGCTGTGGCCCTCGTCGTTGTTCGCCGCCGCTGCTGCTGCTGCTGCTGCCGGCCATGGTGAACAGTTTCCAGTGGAGTTGTTATGATCTTGCAGATGTGGGCTCTATGCACCATCAACAGTCCTTGGCTCCATTGTTGGAACACTTTTTGGCAGAAATGATTCCTGAACGCACTAGGATTCATCAAGTCAGCTGTTTGGGAACTGGGACCTGTTGGTGGAGAAACTGCCTGTCTGGCACAGTCCCCGCGTCCGGCAAGCATTTCGCCGTGGGGCTTGGATGGGTAGGCTTCACATGACATGACTGGCTAGTCATAGCTAGTCCCAATAGATTGAAATGCTGGTTTGTCTAAGCATGGTGTTGCTAGGCAACCAAAACCAAGGAGATCTCATCTACTTGTTCCACCGCCAAAGATTGGTGGCTGCGCCCTTTGCGTTCTTTTTTAGGGACAAATCCGAAAGGTAATGGGCTCTTTTGTTTGGAGATGTTCTGGAGGCCAAAGATGAGAACTGCAGCAAATTGATTCACTTGACAAGAAGGAAGAAACAGACTGAGGATTCCTGGGGCCTGGAAGCCCATAGACAATGACAGTGCCCAAGACCAATCCGTCATCTGCAATGCTCTCCAAATCTATTAAGGCTGATGCTCGGTTTGTAGTCCTGGGACGTCTTGATCCCAAAACCGAGGAGATACCCAAAGGATCACAAAAGACAAAATCTCGCTTAGACACTGCCTATTGTTGCTGTGCTCTAGGGACTCAAGCTTCCATGAGGATTTCCAAGATGACTCTCCACGTTTGAAAAACCATGTCAGAGCCATAGGAGCTTCATTCTAGCACAGCCTTTCAGTGTGTCTTGTGTCCACTTCGCAGGGCAGAAACATTTCCAGGCCATGTAGTTTCCAAAAGCAAACTGCTCAGCACTCAAATTCATGCCATCACCAAAGCTGCCATCTGTATGACTTCTCCTTCTACTGCAACTCACAACCAATCTACGCATGTCTGCGCTACAAGACTACGAGGCGACTGCATTTATTTTTCATGCACGTTTACACAAGGATGTCAGTTTTCCTTGCCTCGAAGCTGTGCTGTCCAGGTTTATCTCGCATACGTGGCAAACTCCTGGACGTTGGAAATACCTATCATTTATCCTCCAGCCACCTGCCTCAAGCAAATCGCTTCTTTGGTGCCATGAGCAAGCAGACAAAACTTGTTCAGAATGACAAGGGTCAAAACCCTGGTACCGTCAGTATCAGCCGGGAAGTTGATCCCCCTTCAGACCCAGAAGCGTCCAGTTCTTCAATTCTAGGGATGTTGATGTTGCTTCGCTTTTCTTTGTCATAGATCAACTATAGAACTTCTAATCTGAGACGTCCATGACGGACGGCACCAGTGCTGGAATTTCCCAAAGCCCTCAAGCAAGGTGAAGGAACACGGTTTCACTGTCGGTTTCTGGAGACCGAAGGCCACAACCCCACCTTCGGCACCGTCGGACCGTTGTCACAAACAACCGGACCGTGATTCCCATGTGTGGTGCAGCAAGTGTGCATCCCTGACTTTTGCACGCAAAGAACAACGCGTATGCCTGGAGGTCGAGTTGGAAACTTTGCATTTCTTTGTGGCTCATTTTGGCCTTGGTGGCTTGGCTCCTTTGCATCTACGATCTGTTTCCCATGCCCTTCCAGTACACCTCGAGCATCTTGGTCCAAGCATGTCCAAACCGGACACATTGCGTGCCTTCCGTGTTGAACTACGTATGTCAGTATGTTGTCAACATTGCACCAACTTTTTTCGACTTTTATGTCAGGCAATTTCCATGTGGAAGAAAGTAGTCACTGGATCATCTCATGCGTAATATATTTACATATATTTACTGTAAGTATATTTGTTCAGGGATAGTGTTTTGACTAGCTGATACAACAAAGATTCACAAAGACCATATATTGATAGATGAACGGTGAAGCTGGACTGTTGAAAGGAACATAAGACAATTCTCAGCCAAAGAAAAACGCAGGGAAGTTGATTGGTCGGCCACACCCTTGAAGACTTGGAAAAGCACGGCACGGTCACCATAGTCACAATACTCATGCCAAATTTCCGTGCATGTTCACTTGACCAAATCGAACGCGCCGATGAACATATCGAACTGCTTCCTCCTCCAAATGTGGGATTGCCAAGAGTCCAAGAGGTTTGTGGCCATTTGTGTGAGAGAGAGAGGAGATTATAGAGAGAATGCTCGACCTACTGTCCGCTGTGCACAATTTGGGCTTTGGACTCGGACATGTGTATGGTTTTAAACGGCTCTTGGCACAAGGACCTGTAATGAATTCTGCTTAGCATTCGATAAAGTCTAAGAATCCTAGGACCTCTCTTAGGAGGGCCCATGCAACCAAGCCCTGAGAGTCGCAGCGGGCTCTCCGAGAGGTCTGCTTGAGATTTCTCAAAATCATCCCACATCAACCATATTTGAGAGTTTTGAAAAATCATCATTGAGTGTTTTGCTTGATAGTCTCTCCTTTGCTTGAGAGTTTTGCTTGAGTCAAAGGAGAGACCATCAGTTTGCTCACTCTGCAGAAACCGAAGGATGCATCGATGACCCAAGGATGTATCGATTCGAGGGGCTGTTCTCACCATAGGTCGGTCTCACCAAGTTGACTACGCATTTGACTACTTTTGGACCAACACCCCTTGCAAGGTCCTCGTATTATATGTTCTTGTTTGGGCACTCTTTAGGACAACTGTCTCAGGCAGTGTCGTTCAAGCAGATTCTCAAACTGATGTGGAGCATCTCAGCTGAATTGCAGTGACGGAGGAAGGGTTTGGCCCAGAGGCCCATTGCCTAACAAGTTTTCAGGCGTCCAACCCTGGGAATGCTGGATTTGTGAGGTGTAGTAGAATGTACTTTGATGATAGGTGCTTCACCCTTAATATTTATGTGAGCAATACTTGGATTCTGACCAATGCCTCTACCGACCAGGTCACAAGGCCGTAGGGACTTTATGTTCATTTCATGCAGAACGCTTCACATGGAGCAAGACTTGTTTGATCAGAAGAGGCTCTTTTCGATGGCAGGTCTGCTCTCCCTTTGTGCAGATCCTCATTTTTATCAGCGTGTTCACATTGTAAAAAGATCCCTGCGGATACTTACTCTCAGATAATTACTCTGGATCTCGTCTTTTGGAAAGACATCACCTTATGGACGCCAACATATTGCATCGTGTTTCATCTTTGTACTCCACGATCCGGCACGATTGCCAGATTGGCAATCGATCCTGATTTTCAAAACGCGCGGCCCAAGTTTGGTTCATCCCTTGACTCCGAATGAACAAACCATCTCGTTTAAAGTCTTTAAGCTCATAGAAGCCCGTTAGAGAACGCAGACCACTGGGTAATTTGTAACCTTGCGAGATTCTTGGTGCATACATTGGCCTCGGCAAGCCACTCAGATGTTCAGTTTTAAACGGATGTGGATGTAGGTCATCAAGCCTTCAAGCAACTCATGTTTGGACGTTTTCTGAATGCTCTTGGGGTTGTGTCTGAGGTTCTAGGAGATGAGTGGGAAGCAACATGAGGGGATCACCTGTGAACTTTTGATCGGCTTTATTCCATCTCTTCTTACTGGTCTCTTCGCATGGCCTTTTCTGAGGAACATGTAAAAATGCATTTGGACTTGTTCACCTTTGGCATCTTTCAACCTCCCTTCTAACCCCCCCTCAACCTCCCTCCTTAACCCCAAGCTGCAAACTTACAGCAACTTGGAGCATCTTTGCTCAGGATAGAATGTCCTCTGGGAATTCTGATACTTGTGACACCGATCCTGGCATCGTTCATTGGCTGTTTAGCGTATCCTTATCTTCCCTGTGTAAGGCACGGAACGACTCATCGGGAGGATGGCCAGGGATTGCTCGTGTTGGATGGATTGCCGAGCGGAGATTGGTGTTTGAACCACTTCATGTTGTAACGTCCTATACTTTTGAGATGTCAAACAGTTGAATCTTCCCTTCTGCAAAATGGCCACGGGTTTTTGAGCGGTGCTTTGCAGCGCCGACAAAAGCTCATGATATCTTTCCAGTTGCTATCACGGTGGTATCCGTGTATTGGGGATGGATGATGTTGCAAAGAAAGACGAGGGAGGGAGAGGAGGGATTTGCACGGGAGCATGGGGCAAATGCAAGCAGCTATATGGCTATATAATATATATATATACATATCAGTGGTCACCGCCCAAAACGGGGTGGTGACAACAATAGCTACTCGTACTGTAAGTGTATGCTGGCAGAGAATTTGGAAAGGTGAGCATCTGAGATCTTTTTTGCTGGGAGTTTCACAGTACTCTTGGTGCCAGGTGCCAGAGGTGACCCAGAAAACTTGGGAGCGCAAGCGCCAGGGTTGGCAAGCATTATATAATTGACCATTGCAAAATGTCTTCTGACCAGAAACTGTACTGTAGTATCTAGAGCAGAGCTATGCAGAGCTCCAGGTCTTTGCCCTTTTTAGAGTCATACCGTAATACCCACTTGTTTTTTTCCTGCTTGCTTAGTCCCTTCCCCAGCTGCACCACGGAACTTCCCCAACACCTTCTCCCCCCGGTCTCTCTCGTCTGCGCAGCTCAGTCTCTCTCGTCTCCCTCGTCTCCTCCGGTCGACCGGCGACGGCTGCGCCGAGATCTGACAGGTCGAAGTTCTGCTTTTATGACGCTGCGAGCATCCATCAGGCGGATCCCGTCCTCATGCGTCGGGGCATCTACGGCATCGGGGGCTTCCTCCGCGTCTCCAAAGAGCTGCGAGTTCTTTGGAGTCCGCCCTACTTGGAGAGGCTTTGGTGCAGCTGGGCGACATGAAGGGGGGGCTAAGACGCGTTGCGTCTGGGCTCTTCGGATGTGTTCAGGTCTTTTTTGGCCACGGCGGCCACGGGGGCCGTGAGTGCATTGAAGTGCGATGTCTGACTTCTTGAGGATTGTTGATCTGAGGTGTTTTCGAACTGGCCGCATATAGGCATGCAAATCCTAAAGGCAAGCTGGTTTTTGCACCACTCTTCGTGGAGCCTTGGCAGCGCTGTGGTCCTTTTCAGAAATCAGGGACTGGGACCCTCTTTCAAAGCACCAGACTTCGAGGACCATCCCTTTGGTCTGTCAACGATGAAACAACAGTGGGTTTGGGAGATCCACCAGATTCCTTGAAACGAAGCTGAAACGGAATACCCTGAAACGAAGATACACCTGCCGTATCTTGGAAGACGCAAACATCCTTCCTGGATATCATCAAATCGCTTGCGCAGAGGTTAAGATCTCACTGATCTACAGTCTTGGAAAGCTTGTGAAGTCATTTTGGTCTAAAGATTGTGTGTGTATTTTTGTTTCAAGGCTTTTGCACCACATGGTGCTACATTTCATACGAGGCACCGTAGAAAGTCAGAGCCCCAGGGAAGAAGGGAGGCGGAAGGGAGACCATCAACGATCTGGTAAAAGGAATCACCAGACCAGATGCTAGTAGTGGAGGATCTCGCTATTTTGAGACCATTAACCCTAAAGGCCCTAAAGTTTGCCCAGCCCGAAAGGACATAAGTTGGATCCTTGCTTAAAGATCAAGAAACGGTTCGGACACTCCGAGTTTGTCAGACCTCCAAAAAGGTGTGCTCAAACCTCACAGTATGCGCCAATGCGCCGGGACGTCCCGTCCAGGGAAGTTCCGTTGACTGACAGGAGATGGTGGCTTTGGCACTGTGGCTCAACGCTGTTTTGACCACCTCCTTGCTGTGGTGTACCCTGTTTGCGGAGATGACCAACAGGGCTCAGGTATTGCTGTGGTTCGCGCCTTGTCCCAAAAGCTCCAGCTTCACAACTTCCGGGCTGAGTTCTTGTGATCAAACTATTGAACAATAATTGGGTATTTAATGGGGAGACCCCAAGCAAGGGGGTCTTTGAGAGGTCCCCAATTCATGGTCCTAACGACAGCAGAATGTTTCGGAACTGGAAAACTTCGAAACAGTCAGTCACCACATTGCCCACCTGCTATCTCACGGGATCATAGCACTGGCTCTCATCGCTCTCAAAGCATTTCGTGGCAACGATCCTTTGTTCCTTCTTTAGTCATCCTGAAGAGAGAAGGCAACACGATCACCTCACTATCACTTACACATGCAGACCCAGTTGCAGACGATCACCGAAAACGTCCCATGCGTTGCGCATGTGTCCACGATCGCCTGGTCTCTGTGCGAGGTGACGACGTGGCCGCTGATCGCGGTGCTGCACTTGTCCAGGAATTGCCTCTGCGAGAAGAACCAGCTCCTGCGGATGCTCGGTGGGGTGCGAAGCGGTTTCAGAAGGGGGACGCGAAGCGTGGTTGTTTTTTAAAGCGGGTAAGAGGGATTAAGAAGGTTAGGAAAATGTTGGCAAATACATCAACACTGGATGTGGCCACTATTTCAGATGGTCCGCAAGATTCCCCATAGTGACGAGCAACAGGAGTGGTCCGAATGCGACCGACAACGGTGGACCCCACGGGCATCGGTTTGTCTTGGGTACCTCTGGGCGGCAGGTGATTGTTTCAAGGAAGAATGCCTCAATGCTCCTCAGTGCCCTTTCGCCGCCCTATATCATTAAGATTCATTAAGCTAAAGATGAAGATCGACGAAGGATGTACTCCACAAGGTGTGCTTCTTGGGGAGTTCTTTGTTTTACCAGTACCAATGATCTGACTGGTTTTTGGTGCGATCACTGCGCGTGACTGAGTTCCGCTGACTCTACTGTTGATACAGTGCATCCTGCAAGTCACGATGGGAACGCCAAGCTTGCTGCATGACTCATTTATGGCTCCCATATACTCCCCACATACTTCCATGATATGATGAAGGGCATCTTGGGAGAGGGCTGTCAGGTCGGAGTATCGGAGTATCGAGATACTGTATCGACTAACTCAGGAGGCATGTGGCTCCCTGAGTTAGGGAGTATTCTTGTGGAGGGCTGGGTCAGGATTTGAGGGACTCCGCAAGATCACCGAGGAAGGAGTTGTTGATGTTTCCAACCTTTGATCTCATCAAAACAACTTGCACATGCCAGAAAATCAGTTTGTTTCCTATATGATTCTAGGTCTCTGGAGTCAGATGGTTCATGGGCATAAAGCAGAGCCATCATGAGTCATCTAACATCTCTTCCTTTGTGGCAACTCGCTTCAACACTTATCACTATCACTAGGGTAAACTAGGCTAGATTCTTGGAGATCCAAAACACTTCCTGCGGTTTCCTGCGTCCGAGGAATTTGGCTGAATTTGACCTTCACAAGGCGTGGGTTGTGGAGAGGTGTTCTGGGTCCTGGAGCGGTTTCGAACGTATGCCAGGGAGCTGTAGATCGTGTGTCGAGATGCGTTGATCTCATGGTCTCAGTCAATGTTCCTTTGGGCTTACTTTGCATCTTTTGGATGATGACACCACAAGCCTGCAGACAATCTGAATGTCCAACCGAACCTATGATTAAATAACATTTCAACTCTGCAGAGGAATGTAATTACGCTTCGATCCCCCACCATAGATCTTCAGTCCAAAGATTCCCAAAACAAAGGTCTCCCCAAAGCTCTCCCCGGTCGCCACCACCGGTCAACCTTTCAACCCCACCGCTTTCAACCCCACCGCGGTCGCCTTTCTGCGTCGCCGCTCCCCGGGTCAGCGAGGCACACTGCCTGCTGGACTCGGATGAGCAGTTCGTGCATCAAGCGGTCCAAGAATGGTATGGGAGCGCGGAAGCATGGCGGACGAAGGGAGTATGATGATGTCGAGATGTGTTCCTTGATCTTAGGGAAGCAGTAACACCAGGTAGTGAGATACACTTGACACGCAAATTCTAGGTACACAGTATACCTGGAAATCACAGAAAACTCCTTTCATATCTTTCATCATATATTTCTTTGTGGTGTTTTGATAGAAGACCCAGGATGGACTGCAGGTCTCGCAGACCGGGAAGCCCAGGCAGGTCTTGCAAACATCACAGATTGCGCCGCGTTCTGAGAGTTCACAAGGGAGGGTAGATCAAAGGTGGAGCACAGCTGTTGGGGTCCCCAACATTTTTTCACGCAAGCAGGAGGGGTCCCACTTTGCCTTTGACACACGTCCTGAATCACATCTCATAGATCTCTACAACTGCCCGCGGATCAGACCAATCAGCACTGCAGAGCACAGTGCATGCAACATGAGACTATTTTTGAAGAAACATGGCAAACGCCCACTATCCCAGAACAATAGAGAAAACATTCTTGCAGGTTCATCCATCCAGGACCTCTTCCGTTTGTGTCATCTACGACCCCCGTTCATCCATCCATGTTCTCCCCGGCACGGTCCAAGCTGGGTTGCTGAGGAGAGCTTCAACCGCTATGTCCGTGGGCCAATGAGGCAAAGGAACACACGGTGGGCCAATGACCCTGCCAATGGGGATGCAAACACCCCCAGAGACTTTTTTTTTCAATTTTTTAATTGGTTTTGTATGTTTGGTACGGTAGACAAAAATGTTTGTATTCTACTTGGAGTCGGTCCATGTTTGTCACCAAAAATGATCGACGGAGAATCTCTACAGTTCTTTGTGCGCGGTCCTCCTTGTGTTTTGGGTCATGCGGCACACTCGTTCCAAGCAAGCGGTTGTGTAATCAGTTAAGATTCAATTAAGTGGGAAAGCAATGAAACAACAGCTTCATTACCGAGTTCAACCCGTTCAACTACTTGTGAAGTACCCAGAGCCACGTGCTGCGAAAAAAATGAATTGGTGTGATCTCTGACGCATCAAGGACTGCTCCAATAGAGCGAGTACAGTCTTTGGGACACACCCAAGAAGGTGTTTTGGGGTCGTATTGGGAACATGTGAGATGATCACAACTCATACCTTGGAGGGAACCTGCTTGCTCCGCGAACCAGAACCAGTTACTGAACACTTGGAGTCCATTAAACATCTCAAGGTGAACCGTTGGTGTTGTATTTCTCGTTCCTCCATCGCTTTCGATAAACATCAGACCTTGATGCATGTTTGCGTTGTTTCTCTTGGCAAACCTGTCATCTTGGGGCTTGTCTGAGACCCTCGGAATTGGGTTGATGGCATCCCACAAGTCTGAGTTGAGGAATACACTTAAACCACAATAAGAAGTTGGTCAGTGCTTTTGAGGACAGACGGACCAATAGGGCATTTTCAGAGAAATGTGCTTTTCCACCACAATGGGAGGCAAGAACTTCTGGAATACGATGTGCGGTTAAGTCTCTTGGCAATCCTTGGAGCTTTGGACAGGGACGACGGCCGTAGTCGTCGATTGGGCCGACTTATTGTCACGTGGGGTGAGGTCACACGCGCTTTTTGAAGATGCAGAGAATTCCACAGTTTGATTGATGCTAGAGGCACTGAGTTATTCCTTCATAGACTCACGCATTGAAATGATGGAGACAGTCTTTGGTTGGTGAAACTATGGCTGGGGTTGGTTGTGAGACGTTTAAATTGCAACTTTCCCTTTCATTTGTAGTAACTCTCCAAAGATCAACCGAGGGAGAGTGACAGCCTTTGAATGCACTGATGCCCCAAATGAATCCACAACCTAGTTCCTCTTCGAAAGCATCCTTGCCCTTTGCAGTTGTTTTCATGGTTGTGGATGACTTAATTATTTGATGCATTTTGGTGAAGACTCCAAGCATTCTTGTCATGTACATGAGACATGATGAGACCCATATTGGCATCATGTGGCATCACTTTTCCAATCTGCCACTTCGGCCTCACAAAGCTGTCACCCACACAGAGCCACTCCCCTGTGGACTCAGAAAAGCGGTGCATCGTCACAGAGAGCATGTTTAACGTTTGTTCAGCTGATCTTCTGTGAGCACGCGTGGTAGAATTGATTCTTTCAAATGTGGTGTGTCACGTTTCCACTGGTTCTCATATGTTGTTATTAGTAACTTGTGACTGTAGGCCCTCTACAAGGCATCGGTGGCCATCTACAGTGACTTGAAAAGTCTCTCAATCACTCTTTTCACTCCGGGGTCCCAAACCATCCTGCAGCATATCAGTCCACTGTCTGACCACATCAGCCTAGGTTTGCCATTGCCATACTATGCGCAGGTATGGCTGGTCTATGTGACTCTTGTCGAAGTTGGGTCATGAGCATGTGACTGTTGACCAAACCGATGAGGACCAAACCTCAACGGCAGAGGTTCGACACTGCCGGCACAGTGCTCATCAGGCCCTTGGTCCGTCCAAAAAGTCCCTGCGTCTTCCGCGCCTTTCGCCCGTCCTTCCGCGCCAGAAATGACCGTCCCATGGAACTCTTCCATCGTTGCTTCATCCGATTTCGAAAGGATCAACAGGGGGGCACGCTGAAGAATCCAACATTTCTTTAACTCTGCCAAAAGCATGGCTGCCATGATTTGCCTCTTCTCACTGGTCCAACTTGTTAGTTCACAACCAAAAGTTCTTTTCGTGCCCCACTTCTCCAAGGAGCGCTAGTTTGGAAGAGTCTTGGCGGAGCAGGGCAGTTGCGATTGAACCGGATTCCATGAGGGGACAGTGAGAACCCAAATCAGTTTGGAATACATTCTCAAGCATCATTATGATCAAACAATCTCTCAGCGTATTATCAGAGATTCCCCTTTGACAACAGCCAGCTAGGTGACACCCGTCGCTCGTTGGGTGCGGACCCAACCCCAGGCCAGGTTTTGTGGCCATTTGGTTTGCACTTCTGAAAATCCAAGGACTTTGCAAGGGACTTGGACAGGGGTAGGACTTGGATCCTTGAGTTGAACATAGACACTGTTTGTGCGTTGCAGGAACAAGGAGAGGACTTGTATGTTTGGAGACTTTGGAGGTTTTTGAACCCCTGATTCCAAAGCGAGACTTTTTGGAAGGCACCACACTTCCATTTGAGATATTTGAGTGGTGCCTGTTTCCACACGCCTGTTTGACGTTTTGAGTTTTGATCGAAGGGGCCCTGGAAATCTAGTTTGGATATCACAGAAGTATTTGTGTGCGTGTGTGTCAAGCCGTTGTCCAGACTTTAATCTGTTAATGTTGTTCAATGACAATTCACGTGGACAAATGGATGCCACCCCGGCCTATGAATCGCGGAAAAAGACGCCCGTGTTTCGCTTGGCTTGGAGGAACTCTTGTCCCTGATGAAGGGTGGCATCCCGATGGCCACTGCCCGCGCGTTTGGATGTGGCCACACGATCGGAATGACTCTCTGGATCGTGATGTCATTGCTGCTTGGCAACATCCGCGTGGGCTCGAGGTCTCGAGGTTTCTGATGAAGAGTTACGTCCTGCACATGAATGGGAGGGGAATAACGAGTCAAGAGGACTGAATATAATGAGTCTAGTTCACTTTTTGATCAGAGAGCTACTTGTTTTTGTTGTCGAATGTCATCTAGCTGATTCTAGAAGAAATGCGACTTACAGTTCTTTGAATCATTTCTGTAGTCATCCAAGAATCTGTCCATTAGAAGACTCTTGTTTTCGTGTGGAATTTGATTTCTGCAATTTTGTGCACGAAGCCCTGTGCTCAGGAAGCTGATGCTTAAGCTTTGTGATCGCTATTCTGCACCACATCCGAATCCTTTGTGCAACTGTGGCTGGACTGCTTCCAGTGGGCCTGCCAATGCAAGTGCACTTTTGCAAAAAGTTTACCAAGTTGTTCATGGATTCTTAAGCAATCAAGCAAACAGTAGGCAGTCTTTCATTCTTTCCCATCCGCCAGCCTTGGGCCATGCGTGTCGTGCGCATGGATTGAACAGGTGAAACGGCATCACAGAATCTAACAACATCCATGGCAAGGGCGGCATTGGAGTTTCCCAAAAAAAGAGAGATGGGATCCGCAAACCTTTTGATATACCGTTGTTTGTTCCTCTACCACAAGAACTGGGGAAGGGTGGGGAAGGCGCAGTGCTGCTTGAGCGGCACGGAACACCGTGGGCGTCCAACTGGTCACTCCAGGTGGCAAATCGCTGCTCATTTACTTCGTCACAATGATGATCATTTGTGTCGGTTCCATCGTGAGCTTTGCGAGCATCCAGTCGCAGCTTGTAGCTGCTGGTTGGGGAGTCTCGCTCCAAAGAGAGGTTCTGTTTGGCTGGGGAGAAAGCACAACAGTCAGACGTGTTGTTGGGTTTCGATTGAACTGCTCATTTTGTTCTGGCCCAATACAGTTGGGAACGTGGAATGGCAGCTGAGGATTGTGCAGTATCATCATGGCTTTCTTCTTTTTTGGTGCCTCGATGGATCAAACCCGGGGGTGGTGAAGGGCTTGGTCCCAAATCGGAGTAGGATACACCAGCCGAGCGTTCCCAATTTCAAGATTCTAAGCCAGATGGAGCCACGTACTTGATCAAGTAGGCTTGTGGGGGTTCGTGACACGGACTGCTTTTTGCCAGCTACTAGTAGCCCGTAGCAGCTACACTCATGTTTTGTGTTTCAGTCGAGGTGGGATTCAGCTCAAAACCGTGAAGGCGAAGCTAGTGTTTTTCATCGGATGCCCAAAGACACGACTGTGTTGGCATAGGCATCGCGGCCGTAGTCTCGATCTGTCGACGCATACCTGCTGGTCCACCTTCCCACTCTGCGAGGTGGTCTTCGACGGTCCACTTGAACGGCGGTCATCGCTGGGTTTGGGGGTGAAGAGCGACTTGAACCCAAAAGAACGAGAGCCTGATGGATGGATTTGCACGGGAAAGAGTCAGCATGAACTGCATGCCCATGTCATCCATTCATGATCCGATGGGATGAAGGGAATAGACTTATAATCCACTGTAGAACATGACAAGCCCAGGAGAACAATGGTTTCGTTTGACCAGCTGTGGGGATTCCAGCAGGATTGAGTGATTTGCCCTTCCGGAATTGCAGAAACAAAACAGACAAGAACACCCCAAATATTGGGATAACAACGATATCCCATACAAAGATCTGCAGGGCATCGGCTTTTTGGTTCAGTGTTTCATGGCCGCAACGGTTTCTGAGAAATCGGATCCGTCTCAATGATTTTCAGCCTGAAGGCACCAGTGCCACGTGTCACCCCTTTTTCCTTCAAGGGAGGAAAGCTCTCGAACACGTGTTTTTTCAGAATGGATGTGCAGCCCTTTTGGGCACCACTCCAAGGCCACCAACGTTGGAGACATGTTTTTGCAAAGCTTTGTTTACGAAGGTGACACACACACACACACAGAGCCAATGAAAGGATAGTTTATGGGTCCCAAAGTGGGTCTCCAAATGCACGTGGTCATTGTATGTCGTCGTGCCCTGGTGGCCGCTGGTGGCCTGATGGATTTGTGGGCGTGTCTCAGACTCCCCCCAAAATGCCTCAAGTTCTCTGACTTTACCCACCAGGCATCACAGAGCTATGGGATGCTATGGGCTTTTGGGGATGTTTTTTTCCCGTTCTTCTTTTTCCAGTCAATGTGCTTCGACACACCCCAAGCAGCCGTGGTTTCACAGGTTGCCAAACGGCACCGTCCAGTGGCCCTCAGCTCTCGCTCCGAGAGCAGCCTCGGAAGCTTTCACAGCTTGTTTTTGTTCAGGGCGGTGACCACTTACGGCTCGAGGCAATCGCGTCTGGTGCCTCCGGTCTTCTGAGGGGTGTTCGAACACCCGGTGAAACAGATTGGAACAGGGCTTTGATTGAAAGGAAACACCAAGATGAAAATGCTTTGCTCAAGAGAAGTGGCAGTTTCCAGACGTCGCTTGAGCGGTTAGGGCCCCGGTGACGATTTTTTTTCTGCTCACGGCTGAAGACGCACATCAGATGCTTGGGGAGAAAAAACAGACTGGACCACAGGGCCACCCACCACTACAAGTTATGCATCAGGTGCAGTCTGCAAGAGCTTTAGGCCTGGCCTCATCTGGCCTCTAGCAAAAGAACACCCCAAACATGAAATGACATGAAATGACCAGAAGAGTCCGTGCAATGCTACGTGCTGTCGATTTCTCGTGCTTGGACCTGGAAGAGTGTTCACAGCATTGGCCACGGGTCCGTGCTTGGTGGCCGGACCGTGGCCGCACAGGTGGCAGGACGGCGTAGAACGACTCGGACGGGACGGCGGTTCTGGTCTGGGGTCGCACGCGGTCGCACGTGGCCGCTTTCTGCCAGGCGGGGAATGCCTTCCTTTCCAGTGAGGATGCAGAGAGGCATGCTCCCAGGTGCCATAGGGGTGATGAGTCAAAGTGAGGGTGCGCACAACCGCATGCGCTGAACCTGCAGAGCTGTACGTGCAGGTGCAACCTGGTTCAATGGCCTTATAGTGACTATATATATATATAGATGTGACTAGTGTGGCCGATGGATCCTTAGCATGTTGCAACATTTTAGCCTGCCAGATTGCGTCGGCTCCAGTCTCCAGGTTTGCGGGGTTCAGGGCTCAATGTTTTCCAGGAGCTTGCTACGTGCCATCTAGATTGAAGTAAACAGGTGCGTCTCAATGAACCCCATGTTTTCCACTGCTTGAGGACCTAAGCCAAAACAATCGAAGCAGAATAAAACCGATCTTTCAAAACTGAAACTCCCCACTTTCCACGCAGACAACTGTGGAAAGTGAGATTTGCAGATCCCGCCTTTGAAGAGATTGGAGACGTGCATCTCTCATATTTCGCCACAGTTCCCTGGCGTTGCACATAGGACATCAAGCAGGTGCAAGTGTTGGTAGCGAAGTTGGCAAACCCCAAGTTCCGTCGCATGCTGCTCATTCCTTTTTCGAGCCAAACACTGTCTTGCCACGATCCTTTTTCGAGACAACCTGCAAAGGAAAAGAGCGCCAGCCGCAGGTTAGCCATCGATGCAGTCGAGTTGCAACTTGGAGGTCGCCTTCAAGAGGAGGCGCGGCGTCGTGTTCGTTGTCTCGAAGCTAGATAAGTCATGGCATCATTTTGTTTGTGCACGTTGAAGATGTTGAAGCCTGGCTGGTGGTAATGGGCAGTTTTTGTTGATAAAGGGTCCTAGGTCAGTTGTGTTGTTACCCCAAGAAATATACTTGCCCCTTGAACAGTTTGAACACACAATTTGTTTGATTTGCAACCATTGAGCAGGACCGAGGACCATGGATTTGCCTGGGATTCCACGGGTTAGAATCTTCGGCATCTGAGGTGATCCACATTGCAGTGGACTTGATGGCCAGCAGGATCCCACAGTGGATGGCCAGGTTCTTTCTTGTGTGTTCAGCCGAAAAGAGTGCGTATATTATATTATGGTGATTTTCTGGTGGCCTCATGTGGCCTCCACTAGACGGGTTGACAATCCGAAGAATCTTGGGTTTCGTATGGTTTCCTGCTGCAAGGGTGGATTCACTGTTTGATGTTTTCGAGGACCACTGCGGGTCAAGCAAGTCTGCAGCATTTGCAGGAAGGTGTTGAGTTCTGCAATTGACGTTCGGCAAGAGGGAAGTACTAAGTACTAGCATTTGATTCTTGAGGGATGCAATCGCATGTGCCACCGATTTACTTGTATTCTCGTAGTGGCCGCCGCATGTCATTGATGTATTGGACATGTGCGATGGCCTTTTCAGTTTCGTTGCAGACTCAAAGATACTCGTCATTCTTGGTTATGTTCTGTATAGATCCATGCCCTTCCATTTGTCACAAAACTCTGTTCATCCGAACAAACACCGGACGAACGACATGAGCGCTCCGCTCTGCTCACCTCTGCTCCCCTCAGCCTCGCTGAGGCTGCTTTAAGTCAATGAAAAACAGCGACCTGGTCATGCAGCCAGTGGAGGTGGGACGACTACGACCAGATCACCAGTTCACAGATTTCATTTTCATGTTTTTCTGCAGCCAGGTTGACCACATGTGTGTGTGTGTGTGTTTGGTTCCACTGCTTTGGTAAGACTGGTAGCTTTACAAGTGTTTGGAAACACTTAGCATTATCGTTATACCCAATCATGACATGTCTTTTGGACTGCTGCATTTGCCGTCAGGCTTGTTGAACAGAGGGCAACCTCGTAGCCCACCTCATATTCAAAGCATTCTGAGGGGTCGTATTCTCAGTATATAGTGGAATCTTGTACCTACAATATATCGAAATGCACAGCCGCTGCCTGCATTTGACCATCCATTGGAGAAGACCTTGGCACGTTCTTCTTTAACCGGTGTCAGGTGTTGCGGGTCCTGTTACAGCGGGACGACCTGGAGGTGCGCGTGGTCAAAGCTAATACACACACAAACATTTCGATACATTTTGAGTTATACTTCAAATGCAGTGGTGGAAAGAGCATCCTGCTTTATTATTGTGCACCGCTGGGACGTAAGCGCTGTGATAGTTGTATATATAATTGTCGATGTGTTTCATCCTCATCTCAACTGCTTTCTGGCTCCACGCGGCCGCCCAGATTGACAACGAAGATGCGGTCTTTGATGTACTTCAAGAGCTTTCCAACAGTTTGGACAAGGCCACGAGAAGGAGAAAGACTGAGTTCATGAAAGGGTAATTGTTGAACAAGATAGGAGTTAGTGTATAAACTCTTGTGAGCCAAAGAGGCTGACTCAACCTTTCTGGATGGGGCTCAACCTGGAAGTCCATAGAATGGATAGGCTTGAATGATCACAACAGCTGCCACCAGTCTTGGCTTCTCCGGTTCTCCCCCAAGTGAGAATCACTCCCTCAGTAAGGGGCCTTCAGCAAGCTTCGATATTGGCTATAAACCGTCAATCTGCCGAGCTTGTCTTCAGCTTCTCCGCGCCTCAGCGCTTGCGGGAATGCTTCTGACATGGCAGCTCGGGATTTGAAGTTCACAAGATTCTTTCAGCATTCCTGCCCGGCAGGGAGGCCACAGGTGCAATACCTTTGCGTTCTTCCATGTTCTTCAATGTTGGGTACCGACACTTCAGACTCAGGAGGGGTCTAAGACTCGGACGGCTGACGGGGAGAGCCGCGCAGCGCAGCGCGGGTGCCCGGGCGAGCTGCTTCCGGTCGGTGAACACGCGAAGCCAGGCTCAAATGGAATTGCTCTGGAGGCGGGCACGAGACGATGTGGGTGAGTCTGAACACATTCATTGCTCGGGGTGCGGTGAGAGTGTATGGGACGCTCACCGCCTTCTCATCATACATAGTCAATTGTCAAAAAGCATTGCCATGCCCTTTTGCGGACAGATCAACTTGATCAGCCCCAAAGAAATCAAAAAAGGCCCAAGTGGTCGGGTCCAGAGTCTTAGATGCTCTAGTCATAGTCAGGTTATCCAGTTCTTTGTTCGAGCAGAATAATGGTACTCAGATGATCATTGTAATGCTTGCAAGGAGCGGGCTTTTCACTTCTCGACTGCAAGTGAATTGGTTCCGCTTCTTGAAGAATGCGGAGGGTCAGCAGCTGACTGGTGAAAACAGTTCTGACAAAAACTCTCGAGATATTGCCCTTTGAGAAACTCACACCAGTTTAGGTCAATTCATGCCAACCCGCTCTTGACACTAATTTTACCGTGGACAACGACTCCTAAGGTAACTACAATTTTTTTGGAGGGGGTCCTTGCAGGGCCGCGATTGGTGTGCAGAATTCTGATGACCTGGTCGTATCCCAAACCGACGAAACGCGAGTCGCTGCTGTTTCGCACGACGTGAGAACGATGCTGACCGGGTTGCTCTGGTCAGGTGTTGCCGATTGCAGAGACTCTCTCCAAGCCGGGTGTTGCAGGCGTCCTTTTCTGCGATATGTTGCAGATCCTTTTGAAATGAGGAAACGATCCGATGCAGATTTGTGGAGTTCCCCGAACTTTTTGGACGCATCATGAAACATCCAGCTGAGCAAGAGGTTGGAAGTGAGGCGTCAGTTGTGACTTGTTGTGCTCACAGCAGAGGCATGAACAGCAAGATTTGTTTGAGAAACAAGTTCAAGTGTTACTGTGGCTTTGACAAGCAAGGATGGGAAGCTATGCTGTTCGAGTTGCAATTATTCCAAAGTTCAAGCCGAGTTCCAACTCCGAGCGGCTTCATGACTCGCCTCTGACTACCAAATCCTCCGCAGATTCTTTGATGGATGCCTTCTACATACACCCAACGTGATGCTTTTTCTCTCATGGGATGCTCCTTGCCCTTCTGTTGAACTTGTTCACCCAAGACTGCCTTGTCAGCTCTCCTGATTGATCCTTCAATGTACCCTGGAGGATCCCTCAAAAGCCAAACCGCGGAACAAAGCGAAGCACCACGGAGGACTCCCCGACCGCTCCACCTTTGCAACCCGACCGATCTAAAAGCCCCCACCACTCCCACCCCCCCAAAGCGCCCACGCCGTCAGATCGCCGTGATCAATGAGATCCCCAAAGAGGCGGTGGTCTGGGCCGGGACTTCTCAGCCGCGTCGGACGGCGGCGGCGACAGGGGTGGGGCGCCCGGGGCCTCTTCAGGGAGGCTCCTGAGGCTAAAAGGTGTCAAATCAGTGATGACCCGAAGACCGGTGCCTGCTGGAATGCTTCGACACATTTGGACGATTTCAAGGGGGTGGAGAGATTTTGAGTGTGATTGTTCAAGGACTTTAAGGGTTGTCAGTCATTTCGATCATATAACACTATTACGTCCGTATCATACGCTGTAATTTGCAAGATCCTCACCGGCAATCAAGCACCGCCCAGAAACCCTTTGATCATTAGTCGATTCTGAGATTCTTATTTAAGACAGAACAATTCGCCATCAATTCGCCTCTCTTCTAAGGCCCTTGCCAACCGGCCTACCCCGTGGCCACCCATTCAACCACCTCCGTCAGGGGCCTGACGGAAGAAGGGGAAGAAGTGGGGGTGGAGCTGTGGAGACAACCAGTGAGTCTTTTTATGAGGTGTTGGTACATTTGCAAAGTGAAATTGGCCATCAAAACTCGAGAGAGAGAGAGAGAGGGGAACTCTACAAGGGGTTGGCCACATGGTTCCTTTCGATTCCCTCTGGAAGGAGGTCTATTATCAGCGTTTCAATTCTGATCTGGCTGCATTTTACTGTGGGACCTTCGATGGTTTCGAACGGGAGGCGCCTTTGTGGGTGTAAAGTAAAGGTGAAGTCTCTTTGGTTTCAGAAGGGGTGTACTGAAGTAGCAGAGCTACTCGCCCAAAGCCATGAATTGCAGAGTCCATGGAGTTAGTGCCAGTGGTGCTAATTTACATCACAGGCAACCACTGGACTCCCCGAACTTGGGGGTCTTCCCTGGAATAGCTCTTTTCAGAATCAAAGGCTGCATCGTCAGAATCACTGGCATCACATGTGCGGCACACTTGCAAACATCCCATAGCACAGTCCATCTGAGTACACTTACAGTTGTTATATATATAACCATCCTGAAGTACATAGAATTTTGGTACAACTCAATCCCGCGGCACTAAAAAAAAGTAATAATACATGGAATATCGGGGTCCCAAAAGCATCTTCAGGATGGTTATATCAAAACACCCGCGTGCCTCGAATCGAAACACCCGCGCGCGCGCGAGCTCGCATCCTATGTCCCTTTTCCTTCTCCCATCTTCTCCCCTATGTCCCCTATCTTCCACAGACCATTCCACGATATTCCAAGTACTCGTTTGATCCGCTCGGAGATATTCTATGTACTTTTTTTGGGGGGTCAAAACGAGGTACTTAGAATATGAAATTGAAATGACGGAAGGTACGTTGGCGGCTCAATTCCGTATTCTATCTACTCGAGGATGATTATATATATATATTAATATATTATATATATATATTCATGGCCCTTAAGAGGTATGGATGGACGTCTAAACTATAGAACAGCCAGGGCTGATAAAAAGATTATAAATATACATAAGTTATAATATAGATTAATGTAGTATCTCTACTGCCACTGTTCCTGGGCCACATGGATTCTTTCCCATGCTTGGTGAAACCCACACAACCAGTTTCTGCTCAAGCGGCAGCTAAACGTAGTGGTCGTTCCTTCGTTCACGAATCTTCGGAGTGACTTCGTGGAATCTTCGGCCTCAAGACACTGCGGTCGTGACTGTCACAAGACTGACTGTCACGGTCGATCGCCATCTCGTCCTTCGGTTTGATCGGATTCTCCGGATGCCTTTAATGCCTTTAGGCCACGCAATTGTTTTTAAAGAAACTAGTTGTCAGCAGCCACAGACTTTCATCGGCACAAGAACAGCTAGACTACTACTGAGACACACTCAACAATACCGACAAATAGTACAATGATAGCTACATTATCATACCAATTCCACCGAACACAACGTGGAAGATCACTAGTAAACCGCCGGTAAATCCCCCTGGTTGATTTCTGTGAGCTCCCCAGGAGTCCGCGCCTTTTCACTCCCAAGGTGGTCCAGCCCTTGGTCTCAAAACGGCTCGCCCTGCCGCGGCCGTGAGATCGTCTTTGTGGCGCGGGGGCCCGGCCCGAAGGGCCCAAATGGAAGTGTCTGGACCGAAGGGACTGTTGAAGTCAGTTCGTCCCTGGTGGGGCAAAGAAGCAAAATTGTCCAGGCGTCGTTGAACAGATGTTGCATGGAAAGATTTTCTGCGACCAAAATCGAGGTGGGAAGCGATAGAAGAAGAAGATTGAACAAGGACGAACCCAAGGTACTCATCACCCACTTGACCATCCTTGACCACATGGGGACACTGGGGCGGGGGATATCCTCAAGCGAAATCCTGGTCTTGACAAGTGAGTACTTTGAAGTTTGACACCTTGAGGCTGCAAGGTTGACAGACCGTCTTGAAGAACATGTTTTTATTGGTCTTTATTGATCTACCTAGTTGTAACAGGAATAAGATAATGTTGGTATGTTTGAGACTTTGAGAAGACCTTGAGCCTCCAAAAAATGATGTGTTTCTTCCATTTCGCGATCGGGGCTCGAGACTTTGTCGACCTGATCGCCTGGATCCAACTATGCAGATCCCCAACGCGCGGGACTATGCAGCGAAGCGCTACACCCGCAGCGAGAGCCACCGCTTGTGGGACAAGCGCCTCGCTTGGAACGGGAGGGGTTATTGACCGTTCCCCATGTCCTTGGTGAGAAGGGTTCACCGGCCGCGCGAGGGTTTGTCTAGAAGAGTTTTTGGATCTCCAACGATACTTACTTGTATCAATTAGTAATACAGACCAATGAGGTATGACTGCAAAGTCAGTTTTGGATTCTTTGATCAACGTGCAATTGTATCCAAGTGTTGGGACATGTTTGCAAAGATCTCGTGAATATCGTGTCTTGGGGCACAGAGTGTTCACTTCAGGATTCCTGATTCCTGACATTGTTGGAGATGTCCATCAGTCCATACGCACACAGGCATACACAGGCTTGCTGCTTGGTCTCCCATGCTGCACCAGGAACCATCGTTGAATAGGCAGCAGGAAGTGAACAAAAAAGGGACTCCACCAGGACCTACCTCCAGTGACTCTGGTATTGGAAGGCTGTGATGTGAAAAAAGATGTCAACATATGGACTTGAACGCTGAGGCATTGAGTCACTGTGTATCACTGTGTATCACTGTGCCTCACTCCGCCCTTGTCGGAGGTGTTGGGCTTCAACTTATATAGGGCCCTTGCAAACAGTTATCAGTGTTTCGTTGTCATCTAACCAGGGGTCAACCCAAACAGACATGTTGCCCATGAGGAAAACATGGTTTTTGATGCCAATGAGATTGTTCTCCCAAGTGCTCGATCTGTTGGGCATGACTCCGGCACAAAAGTAATAGCAATGGCCTCTAACTTAATAGCGATGGCCTCCAACCTAGAAGTGATGGCCTCCAACCTAAGAGTAATGGCCTCCAACCTAAAAGCAATGGCCTGCAACCTAGAAGCGATGGCCTCCAACCGACTAGCAATGAGCTGTTGCCAAAGAATGTAACCCAGGAGTTGCATGTCCACCAAGTGTTTCCATGTGAATCTGAGGTTCAGCTGGCGTCTCTTGATCTTCCCCCACGGCACCGGAACAGAGGCTCCGGGGACTCTTGGCCATCATGACAGCCTGAGTAGTGAGGGGAAGTAGTTGTTTGTTTTGCTTTTGGCTTGGAGTCCCTGAGTTGTTTGTCGTTCTCTCTGTCCTTTGTCCTTCCTTTCTTCCTTCCTTGCTTTCTTTCTTCCTTCCTTCATTCCTTCCTTCCTTTCTTCCTTTCTTCATTTCTTCCTTTGTTACTTTCTTTCCTTTTTTCCTTTCTTCCTTTCTTCCTTTCTTTCCTTCGTTCGTTCTTTATTTATGTTGTCTTTCTTGTGTTTCTTTTCTTTTTTGTTATGTTCTGTTATTTCTTTGTTTTTCTGTTCTGTTCTGTTCTTTCTTTGCTTTTCTTGCTTTTCCGTTCTTTTTTATGTTTTATTATTGTGTTTCTTATTTCTTTATTTCGTTCTTTTTTCATTATTTCTTTCTTTCTTTTGTTTTTTTTCTCCCTCTCTCTCTCTCTCTCCAGACTCAGATAAGGCCCATCTCTCCTGTGATTTCTTTGAGCCCTTGATGAGGGCTTTGACCCTCCACCAATTGCAAGGGTCAGCCATCAATAGCCGTCAATAGCAACACGAAGGAATAATTCAGAAACCACCCCCCGTTCACCCTCCTTCCCTAAACATCAATGAATGCCGCTGACCTGCTGAAACAACTCAACTAGCCTTTTCCTTTGTTACAAACTGAAACATCGAGCCATATCAAGCCTATTCTGATTCCGCTCAGGAAGACGACCGCAGCCTTTGTGGAATTGGTGCCAGATGCCTGGAGCCCCGGTGACGACACCAAGGTCTCACGGCCTGGGGGGCGCCGAACTGCCACGAGTCAGCGCTGTGAGGTGTCGGGCGGTTCATAAGTATACTTAAATGCCTTAATATATTATTATTATTATTATTATTGTTATTATTATATATATTATATATACATATATTATATATTTATAGTTACGTTATATATATATATATGTTGTGACACGTGTATATAGTGTACTGGTGAAACACGGCGAAACACAGTGAAACACGACAAGTGGCATCGTGCAGGTCATCCAATTTCAAGTCCTTGAAACCTTCGAAGAGCATAACAGCTTGGAGTGGGGGCGAGGGCCATTCGGAGACTTCGGTTGGACCCGAACAGGTTTTTGTCATTGAAACATATTGAACTCTACGATTTCGGGCGATTTTAGGACAACTCCTTGCGCCCATCTAGAGGGGAAGTCGAAGCTCATCAAAGCTCTTAATGGTACTCGTATCTACCGATGTGGTTTCTGGTTTCATGTGTCACCTGGAGCGGGATGCAGTGGGTACTTCTATGATCAGACAAGACGCGGCTGTTATGTGAAAAGCGGGTCACATTCCTTGAATCTTGGTCAAACGACTTGCC